TGGTGGTCAAGCCAAATCCCGAATGTTAAGCATAGCCGAGCCCAATTTGTTGTTTAAAGGTTACATCAAAATGTTTCCCCAGGTTGTCCGGTTTTGAAACCTGTTCACCTAATGATTTAGATCCTAAACATTCCTCAATCCTACGTTTCGGAACAATCCCATTGTTTAAGGTACATGCTTTTTGTATCTTCCTGTTTGTTTTTTAACATCATGGTTTACTACATTGATTTGTACATTTGCTGGAGGGTAGATCACTTTAGATCCCAAACTTTCTCAACCGGAAAGTCCAATATTTGTCAGTAAAGAGCGCATGGTTTCCGGTTAAGATGTTCCGAACAAAACCAATCCATCGTTGAGATACATCCTCACTGTTTGGTGAACATTGCCACTAGTGCTGTTTAGTTGGTTGATATTCAGAAACCAATACCTCCATTTGTACCCATCAAACATGTAGATATTTCCCAGGATTGTCCACCCCCCAAAAGATGGTGAAGCTAAGTTATGTTCGTTGGTTTCCAACCCTGTCTAACTGTATGTTATAGTAGCCATAAACCATAGCTAAACCGGCTAAACCAACCTCCCAAAGAACGTCCTTTGGTGAAGCTACCAGATCTACCGATCAACTCCTGATCCTAACATCCTCAGCTCGTTCTCGAGGCTGATGAGTTGCGACAGAGTTTGTTGGCCGCTGCACCAGGTTCCGCTGCAGTTGGATTTTGCAAAGGAAAAGCATCAAGTGATTGTGCTTTCATGAATTTTGGAATTTAATATCAATAGCCAAAAAACAATAACAAAAAATCAATAAAACAACGTAGAGTTAACCGTTATGATGAAGAGTATAAGATTTGACCATCAAACAAAGGATCAACGGGATGTAACCAATGAATAATGAATAGATGAAATGGCTTCGGCTGAAAATGGAGGCTTGAGCGCCCCAAATAGCCATAAATAATGGGGCAGATGATAAACCGGTGGATGGAATGGGGAATGATCAGAATGCTCAGAACCCATTTTTCGTGACCAATCAGAGCCATCCAGGTTCGGTATGGTTCGGTATGGTTCGGTATGGTTCATGATATCTACTAATCTTTTTATTTGGTTGGTGGTTTGAAACATTTGGATTAGTTTTCCATATATTGGGTTCGTTTTCCATATATTGGGAAAGTCATAATCCCAACTGACGAACTCATATTTTTTCAGAGGGGTGGGTATACCACCAAGCAGATGCCATTAAAATGCCCATTAGATCCTATTAAACCACCATTAAATGCCATTAAACCACCATAAGATCCCATTAAACCATGGGTTTTTGCCATCTCCCATATTTGTTATGGTTTGATGACCAAAAGGTATGGATGTTTATAAACACCACGTTCCTGGGATTCAACTACGCCAGGTGGGTGACCAAAAAAACGTGTTGGATTTATGAAGGGCGAATATTAACTAGCATCAAATCATCAATCGCTTGGGGGGGGTAGTTGAATCACCATGAAATTATTGATGTTTATTGAATTTTATGGATATTAGATATGTTTATGGATAGGTTTGCCTCTTCCTTTTGAATGAGCACTGTTAAGAACCTCTTCAAAAATCCCACAAGCAGCAATTATAGTTTATGTGAAGTCCCCAGCTCACGGATTATGAGAAACTCCAATTTTCGACAGGCTAGGTTGATAGCCCGCAGAAACATCATATGCCAATGCCAGGGTTTGTGATGCACAGACATTATACAAAGTGGTTTCTATCTCTAATAACTAGGGTTTATGATACATGTACGAGTACGAAGTAGTTGATGGGGGTGTAGTCAACCAACAAACATCATTTGGCTAAGATAAATCAACTATATTCAACTACAAATGTCTATAAATCCCAATGTTAAGCTTTGTCAAAACCCAATTCTCTGCAGTTTAAATCACCATATTTCATCCTTTGTTCTTTTAAATCACCATGTGTGTCAGATCTTTGCTCAATTTTTTGCCATTTTTTCATGGGGGAGCACCAGCAACTCTCCATGTCTTCGTGACTCGTTGAGGCGGCGAAACGGCCCAAACGGCCCAAACGGCCCAAACGGCTGCCGGTCTGGCTAGCGAAGGTCTCCAGGCTCTTCAGCAGGCTGTCTCATTTGGACATTGCGGGAGATGATATTGTGTAATGTCAACCCTGGAGCCATGAAAAATAGGGGATTTTATATGGATTTATAAGATTTGACAATTGAAAAATGGTGAATTTATATAAACCAGTGAATTTATTGGATTTACCCTCTGGTAAACATTTACATAATGTTTAATGTAATGGGATAATTCACTATTTCGACTGGGCCATATGTAACACATTACCAGAGGCTATATGATGCTATCCATATCCCAGAAATATACCAGACATCTCCTAGAAATAATGGAAAGTAAACAATGTGATCTTCTGGGATATTAAAACTATATTTTAATATGGTGATGTCATATTAATTATGGGATATGATGGGATATACATATATATAATATATATATATAATATGTTTTCGTTAATCCACCCATCCAACCAGGTCTTAGCTGGCAAAAATCAGGGAAGTCATGGTCTTCAGCCGCTGTAGCCGCTATTTTTTTCGATAAGGTGTTTTCCGGAGACATGTAGCATCATGTAGCTAAGCTTAGCTATCTCAGCTTGAACTTTGAATTTGAGGGGCAATGAATTTCTCTCAAGCCGAGCTGTGAAGTTGTGCATGTCGGTGACAGAGCTGGAGGAATTTCCCAGGGCGACTGATGGCCGAGCAACTAGAGGATTTTTGTGCCAGGCTAGACTACATATATTACATTGTATTGTTTGAGCTACCCCAGCTACGCTCAATCTGACTGGCGACAGCGACAGGTATCAGGCTTGTGCGAGGAACTTTATCTCGAGTGCGTGCTGACGGTCCATACCTTCGGCCAACGTAGGAAAAAGGCTTGGCTTCGCTGGATTGCAGAGCGAGACTCCCTGCGATTTGCCTACTTTCTTGACGATCAGAGTCAGTTGATGAGGGACGTTGGGCACCAATTTCGTGACTGCAAAGGTTCTTCTTGATCACCACCCCATCTTAGCTGCTTCTCTGATGACCGGCATGAAGTTGATTTTTGTTACTGCCCATGAGACCAATATTTGGAGGGAATTGAACATCCATAAATCCCAACGAACTTTGGAATAAAGAGAAGGGCACCACGGTTTTGAACCATTGCCATATACAATATGTATGTTTATTTATATATTATGTAGTCCCACCACAGTTGGTCCTTGAATTCTGGTTCGCAGTTTGTCTATGTTCTATCCGTGTTTGAGATGATGATCTTCAATCGACTGCTGCTTTTCAGGTGGGTTGAACTGAACTCCAAAAAAGATCAGATAGTTTTTGGCCCAACAAGAGTTGACGAATCATTTTTTGGGCCACACGTATTTTGACCCATACTCACAAACTCTGTGTTGGCCGGCTAGCAGGTGATTTTCAAACCAATTTTCATGGAAGAACCTGTCAATCGTATTTTATGAAGATCTTTCTTTTACGAAGAACTGTTTTCATAGGTGTTTTTCATTGATTGGATCCCGAGTTTTTGTTTCTCCAGTCATTCTTCAAGCAACCCCCATGATTTTTGATTAGATTCGTTGTTTTTTTATGTTTTCTTGGTCTTAAATCCTAACTTGGGTGAATCAGATCACCATTTTTTCTTGCCAAAATCATGCTTTTTATATCCCAAGATCTTGGTTGGCCCAATCAATTTTCGAGATCGATGTGTCTGAAAATGGGGTTTACAATGGTTTACATGGGTTTACCCCGAAGCGGCCGTTTATAATGAGAATCAGCCGGAAGCGCAGGCTGAAGCGCTTCCAGCTTTGCCGCCGCAGGTGAAGGGTTTGGGGGTGTCATGGGCGAGTGAAGAGTGCAAAGTCTATCACTGGGGGATTTGATATTGGGATATGATGGGGATTTCAGAGAGATTCTGCGGATATCTGGGGATATAGCACGATATTTTGTGGGATATTGGAGATGATGATAGTTAGAAGCGGTAAACTGAATCTGGATCTATGGTTAGAACATGTCAAAATCGCAACATCATAAAAGTAAACACCAACAAAGCAGGGTGATTTGTGCCATACATGGTGATCTATGCTAATCAGTGCAGGGCATCTAATATTATGATCATTATATAGTTGATTAGTATATATCAATTGACAAGCAGTTGATTAGTATATGGTCAATATATGGTTTCTAATATTATGATCAAGATTCGCGGAGTTACTTCCAGTTTGTTTTCTTTGGCCCCTGCGCCCTGCTTATGTAAAATAAATATAGACAAAGCTATGCACAAGCATCCGGAAACACCCTGAAAATTCCATAATTAAACATGTTCGCAAGCAAATTCGTCAGCATATCAACAGCAATCCATAGTTCCATCTTCATCAAACCAGAACCTGGACTTGATGGATAGGGATCACGCACTATAGCAATCCTGATGTTGATGAACGTTTGTACATCGCAGTAACAGTATATATATATATTCATATGGAGGTTTCCTGAAATAGGGGTACCCCTAATTCATCAATTTTAATAGGTTTTTCCACCATAAACCATCCAGCTATTGGGGTACCCCCATTTATGGAACCCTAATAATATAGTGAGTTTGTTTCACCCAAGTGCTTCAGGTCTTTTGTTTGATTCATGACTAGTCCTTTCCCCGTAATATGAAATAAGACCCCCAAAAGAAACCTTGGAACGTGTTCTGTCCTTTTCTGGGAGTATGCAATATTTCACATACAGTCCAGTGGGTAATATCATGATGATCATGTAATATTTAGTAATAACATAGCCATATTACAACCTACATTAACATACAGTAACATACGTACATTAACATACGTGGACTATATACCCCAGTTCTGGCGCACACATCGTTTCCACCTTTGCAGGCGCAGGAGCTCCACCAGAGCCCGAAAGCGTCGGAGTTTGAGGCGGTGGGAATGAGGGATGATTTTCC